CAATCTAAAGGAGTACGTCAACTACAATATCACAGTGTTTGCATCTACTGTCAAAGGAGATGGACCTGCCAGTGATCCTCCCATTGTTGTTAGAACTGACCAGGATAGTAAGTAGATTTCTTTATCAAGTTTCCCTTTGCTCGTTAGGGTAATTGCTCGCAGACTTATGCTATTTCATTAAAATACTGGCCAGTAAAGGTAACTTGTGAAACTCCGATTTTATTTTTAGGTCGACGTAACTAACCACTTCTGAATTGCCAGGCTAGTACAGAACTTGCCTGGATTTCATAGTCACACAGTTTGTAATTTACGGCTTGATCATTTCTCTGAGCTTAAAATCATCTTGAAGTAGTAAACACTTGTTGTTTGCCCTTTGGCCATTTGAAAAATACAACTAGCGCAATTTAATTTACATGCCAAATTTCAACTGATTTTAGAAGGTCATAACTCTTCTAGTATACGAGTCTCTCAACAAATAAGAGGTTCAAAAGAAAGAGCTTTGCTATGGGTATATCATATCTAAATGGTTAGTTTGGCCCGTGAAAATTAAGCACACTATACCAAAAAGTACAAAGGGAATTTTGACCATTTGCCGCTATTTTAAGACGACCGAACGAAAACTTCGATTTCGCAGTCATCTTCATAAACATAATTCGGCATTTTATTCGCGTGGCCTGATATACATTAATCAGGGCTTTTTAAGGCGGCTCCAGAACATTAATAACCATCACATCACATAACAATAGTCTTGTTCTCATCTATGTCGCGGTCGTTCGTGACTCAGAATGCTTTCTCGTTAATGAGTGAGTCAATAACTTTCTTTGTATAAGTCAGTGGATTCTCATTCGAAGGGCGAAACAGGAAGGTGACCAGGAAAAGCCGCTGCTTGTTTTTATATGCTCGACAATAATTTAGGAAATAGAAGTGATTGAATTGATGGGAGGCTGGTATTGGGATAGTTATTTTGAATTAATGTAATTAGTGACAGTCCGTGTCAAATATCAAAGGTACTTTATATGGGTATTAGCATTTTTGTTTTCGCGTGGCCTGATTTGCATCGATCAAGGCTTTTTAGGGCGGCTACAGAACATTAATGTCCATCACATTTAGTGTTGAATTACGTTCTGTGATGTTTTCAGCTTCTTCCAGTATGATTGACGCCACTCCTATGTGTATCTGTCCTTGCAATCCTACTTCAACGAGATCACAAAGTACCTCGTGGCTATATCATTCAACGAGTAGTGCAATCATTACATCCAGCACTTCTGACCAGAGTTCTTCATCCATCTACATCTTAACGACCACTGCAACCGCTGCATTACAAAATGCATCCTTACCATATCATTCAACGAGTGGTGCAATCAGTACATCCAGCACTTCTGACCAGAGTTCTCAATTCTCCGACATCTTAACGACCACTGCAACCAATACAACTAGTGCCTCTGCCTCTTTGAGTTCCTCTGTATGTTATTGTCCCTGCAGCACCACATCTTCGACATCTTATATGTTGTGTAAGTATGCGTATTGAAAGAGATTAGCTCACAGCCAAAGTTTCCTACCAAGCTGAAATGTGAAAAACGCTATGAGAGTTGGCGGCCTATGGGTAATGTAAATGAAGTACTGCAGAATCCTCCAATTTATTCACTAAATTACCAACTCCGTTTTTGTTCTCATCTTTTCCAGCATCAGAAAATATCATGGCAAATTTTACCCAAAGCATGTCGCCGTCTGCAACCGATTCAAGCAGTAGTGTCAGTTTGTCTTACAGTTCCAGCAGAAGTGCTATTGTTTCAGAATCCGTCAGTTCAAGCAGCAGTGTCACTGTTTCGCCAAGTTCCAGCAGCAGTGCCAGTTTGTCAGACAGTTCCAGCAGAATAATTATAAACATGCACTGCTAAGTACAGATACTGTATTCACAGTTTTTGTTTTTCTTGTCAGCTACAACAACTCCAGCTCCAACAAGTGAGTACACATAATATCAGCGTAATGGTTCTTTTTATTTCCGTTATTGTAAATGATTTTATGGCTTTACGCGAGGTACAATGAATAGTATCATTTGTAAGTAAATGCCTTAAGGTTATTATCGACCGCAAATCCCCATGTCCCCCTCAATTAGTGCTTTTGCCTGTTTGAGTTCCTCTGTTTGTTATTGTTCCTGCATGAAAGCAACTTCAACATCTTGCTTGTTGTGTAAGTATGCGTGTCGAGAGAAACTTACTGGAGAATTAAAGTTATATATGTTAGGATTTGCAGTCTGTACATGAAATAATTCGGGGAATACAGCGTAGAGTATGTTTTTGCTATTCGTTAACGCATATTTTGTTGTCATCTTTTCCAGCACCCCAGACTACCACTGCAAATGTTATCCCACTAACATTAAGCCCAGCGTTGTCTCTGGCAATAGGTGCGTTAGCAGTTGCAGAATTGACCAGTCAGGGTGATTTCGTCTGGTCTAGTTCCTCGCATGGCATGGAATAGCATAAAATCGCACGAAAACGAATCTTATGTCATGCCATAACTGTAGTACGGCAAGACACAGCATAGCATGGCATGCAGGGTCTGGCCTATCATAGCCTTACCTTCATAGAAATGAACAAACAATCTATAATGACCGAATATCACGACAAAAAATAGCTAACATTGTAATACAATCAGCGCTACGCTCATGCTGACAATTCTTACTACGTTTAACGTTTGTGACCCTAAAATTTAGTCTCGATGACGTTAATGATTTGTGCTGTCATTTTGTCTTTACTATAGCTACAATGACTGCTGTGCAATCTACTGAAGGTAAGTTCATTCTTCATTTAAAACATTGTCTCATTATCTACAATTTTCATGAGAAGGGTTTTTCCACGAAGACTCTGTTTGAAACAGAGGCACAAGGTAACTCGGAAATGGCCTATTAAAAAAAGTTGTAATGGGATACCTGTAATTGGACACCGTCGTGATCGGTGCAGGTTACGTGGTAAATAAGTGCGCGAAGAACCAATCACAATAAAGAATTTTGCTATAGATACCATTAATAATAAAACACTTTTAATCGCACATGGATTGTTTTTGAAAATAGTCTCTATAAATTAACTCCACAGAGAAACCACACCCACCGTTGAATGTGTCAGTTGATTCAAAGAGCTCTCGAGCAGTGGTTATTTCCTGGATTGCTGGTTTTGATGGAAACAGCACAATTCACAACTACACGGTGAAGAGAAGTCAAGATAATGAAGTGTTTGTAGATGCTGTCTGTCAAGGATCCCTGTCAGATAGTTCCTGTGTGGTGTCCAATACAAGTGCTTCTCTTGAAAACCTCTTACCTCGGACAACATACTACTTTAAAGTGTTTGCAAGAAACATGGTTGGCACTAGTGATGGGAGCTCTGTAGTGAATGCTACCACAGATGAAGAAGGTGCTGTGCATAAATATAAATAATGTAGTTGTTTAAAATTCTAACAGTTGCAATTAATTATATCTTAAGAATTTTACTTTAGAGGGGGAAAGAACACAAGCGAATTTTGAATTGAGTTTTGTAACGTTGTGGTGAGGTTTTCTGTTTATAGTTTTTGTCTTCTGTTTCGAGTTTGAATAATCTCAAACTACACAAAACATAATTCGTACTTCAGTTAAATTTCAATCCTGGGTTAGCGTTTTTCGGCTTCCCAACAACCCGGCCCTGAATACAACATGTAAACCTGGCTTGAGCCCGCGATCCAGTAATGAGCTGTACACTTAAGCCCGCGATATGGCCATGTGGCACTGGTCAGCGAATACCTTGTTTTGACAGGTGTCAATTAGCCACAACGTCAGAAAAATTCTTGTTTTTCGGCCATTTCAATTTCAGGAGAAAGAGAAAACAAACAGCGGTAACAAACATAACAAATAGGTTACACATAGTATATTAACAAGACGTTTCGTATGCTACAACATACATCTTTAGAAGTGACGGTCACAAAATATGACAAGATTTAAAAATTGAAGACTGAAGCGCAGCCAGGATGAGACGTAATCAAAATAACAATAAAAACGTTCTCTGGCTAAAAATTTTCAAAAAAGAACATGAGCTTTCGGCTGCCGATCTACAGCCTTCGACGGATAAAAGATAAAAATAAGAAGAACAACAAAAGCAAAAGTAAATTAGGTGACTATTGTTTAAAAAGAATATACTGGTTTGGAATCGGCTTAGAATTATTGTCAGCATCATGCTTGGTCAAAATCTATGCGATGGTCGAATGACCATGCATGTTTCGCAACGTTTGATCCATTAGCGCATGTTTTGACATTCCTGATATGTTCTTTCTTACGAGTTTCAAAACACTGGACGGTTTCGCCTACATAACACCAATTTATAAGATACCCTGTGCCGACTCTGATCACATTCGGTTGATGTTCAATGGATGGTCTGAATTTGGGAGAATTTGAGAGGACGAAATTCGTCTTTGGAGGTTTTGCACACCTCTGCAACCAAGCATGCTGACAATAATTCTAAGCCGATTCGAAAACAATATAGTATTCTTTTTAAACAATAGACAGAGGGCAGCATTTTCAATAAATAATAAATAAAATAAATAAATAAATCACTCTATTTAAGTGTCCAAGTGGTTTAGCACTGCTGTACTAATTGTGGACACTGAAATAAGCAAACAAATATTGTAAATTAAACAGAAACTCGTTAAAAATCCCAACTGGCTGGAGGTTGGCCAGTTGGCTATTTACAAAGCGTGGAGGAGTTGATTCTGGGACCTCCAGACACAAATCCAGCTGTGGAAGG